TTTCCTGTCTTCATGTTGCACCAAGACCTCTCTGAGAAATTGAGAAACAAAAAGGAGAACTTTTTTTAAAAGGGGGGAAAACTGGGAGGAGGCACATAACAAAAATAACAGGGCAAGGCAAATCTGCAAGGATGCAGTTAGAAAGGCTAAGCTCAAAATGTCAAAAATAAGGGGGTTTACCTGGTATGCCTGAAAAAGTCAAGGAAACAGTTGGACGAGAGCTGGAGACAAAGGCATGAGAGAGACAGAGAAGAGAAGCTGAACTGATGGATTTCTTAACTCCCTACCTGGCCTTTGTGTTTTCTAAAGCACCATTTTGGTGTGGGGGGTGAAGGCACCAGGCTAGATACCAGGGGACGGTGAGTCCTAGTCCCATCTCAGGCACAAAGTCAGTTGGGTGGCCTTGGGCCAGCCACTCTCTCTGAGCCCTAGGCTGAAGGGAAGGGCAAGTCCTTGCCAACAATGCTGCCAAGAAATTGCAGGGATTTGTCCAGACATTAACTTGTCAGAATTGGCACTGTGGGCAGCAGAAGAGAAATGCAGTAAGAGATGATACCTTAGCATCTGTCTCCAGTATCTTCCTATAAGCCCTGTAAAATTTTATTAATTCCCCCCTCCCACCCCCTCTCTCTCTCACACACAAACTATATATCTATTTGTTTTCTTAAGTTTTCGCGGGTACTTACATGTATGGCATTCAGCTTTGTTTGGGTATTTTCCCACATCATTATAGTTGTGCTTTTAAAGTTGTAGCAACGTTTCGGCAGAGTCTCATCTGCCATCATCAGGCTTGTGTATTGGGTTCGTCTTTGTGTTAGGCTTTCACAGCTGTTTCTGTTTTAAATTTGGTGCTGGCCTCGTGCTTTGGTAGAATGGTTTTTTCTTCATCCTGATAGGTTGGGAGTCTTGGTTTGTGTTTATTGGTCTTGGAGTTTGCTGTGGTCTGCTTGATTGGTGTTTCTAATATCTTCTGTCTGTTTTGTAGCAGTTTTTGGCTTGATTAGCTGGCAACATTGTGTTTTGTGTATTGGGGGCTTTTAGCATGGCTTGGCTTCAGGTGAATGGCCGGCTATTGTTTATTAGGAAGCTAGGTTTCAACTGGGTGGCTGGCTGGGGTGTTGAAGGTATGGGGAGGGGTCTGTTTATGCCCAGGTGTTTGTATGTATGTATGTATGTATGTATGTATGTATGTATGTATGCATGCATGCATGCATATATATATATATATATATATATCTTTGGTTATTCGGGTTTTCTCCCGCGTAAGATTGGAAGTATCTAGGCAACGTTTCGATGAAGTCTCATCCAAAAACAAAACCCCAACCAAAATCCAAGACAGAGAACAAGAGAACGGCAAAGCCCTCCTCCCATATATAAAAGGCACTACAGACAAAATCAGCAAGATCCTCCAAAAACACAACATTAAAACAGCATTCTGCACAAACAGAAAAATATCCACCATCCTAAGAAACCCTAAAGACAAAATCGAGTTAGAAAACCAAGGAGTATACAAAATCCCTTGCACCGCCTGTCCCACCACATACATTGGACAAACTAAGAGAAGAATAAGTGCACGCATTGAAGAACACAAGAACTCAATCAAAAAAGAAGAACCGACCTCTTCCCTGGTCCAACACCTCAAAGCCTATACAGAAGCCTGATGATGGCAGATGAGATTCTGCCGAAACGTTGCTACAACTTTAAAAGCACAACTACAATGACATGGGAAAATACCCGAACAAAGCTGAATGCCATACATACATACATACATACATACATACATACATACATACATACATACATATTTACATAGTTACAGTTATATAGTTATATAATATATATAGTTATATAGTTTCTAGTTAAACCACAAGCACAAAGGATTGCCCAGGTATCCAGGATTCCACTCCAGGCTGGCTTTTGTGCCAACTGTGCACCTTTCAGGAGCCACACAGCCAGGCCCAAGACACGCACACACATACACACACCCTGGGCATGCCACAAAGGCCCTCCACCTACAGAATTCTGGGGAGATGTTATTTACTGTCACCTATTCCATCCGTGATCTGAGGCACCGTTTGTCCCTCATTACAGCCACCTGGCCTACCAGGACCGATTAGGGATTGCCATCCGGTGGGATCCCAAAAGGACTTTCTTGGTGGTGGCCCCTTCCTAACCCCCCTAGGTATGCTTGTCCCATTCTGGGCTGCTTTTCCCAAAGGCCCTAAAAACGTGGTTTTGTCAGCAGGCCTGGGGACCCCGAATGGAGACGAGCCAATCAAGCAGCTCTTTTAATGGGTTTTATTATATGAAAGGTATTTTAAATGCTGTAAGCTGCAGGAGTCACCTGGGTGTAAGTACATAATAACGTCACTAAAACAAACCCTTATCTGAGCAAAAGCGAGAAAGAGCAAATGAGGCAGGATGGAGGAGGGCGCAGAGCAGCACGGCACCCAGCGCAGGTCTGGAAAGCGACCCTGCCCCCAATACTTCTCGGGTGTTCCCCTGGCCCAAAACAACGGGAGAACCGCCTCGACCGCTATAAGGCAGCGGGGGCTTCATCGCTTCGTCGTAGAATTCATGGGAATCCTCGGAGCCAGGAGAAGGACACGCAGAAGCGCGAAAACGGCACGTGGGGACGTGGGGAAATCCGGGGATGTGGGAAGGGGCTTTTCCCCTTCCCAGCGGAAAGGTCCTTCAGGTTCTCCACCCCGGATGGACTCGCAACGCTTCTGCACGGTTCGGTCGGCGGCAGCCCCCGAAGGCTTCTGGCGTGCAGAGGGCGCCCCCTGTAGGGCTCTTGGGGGAAGGCGGCCGGCCTGCGATCCTCGGCTGAGCGCAACGGCTTCGCTCCGTCAGTTATGTAGGCACCAAGGGACCTTTCGGAATACAGATACAGAATTGGAAGGGAGCTTGTAGGTCCAATCCCCTGCCCAAGCAGGAGACCCTACACCATTTCTGACGGTCTCTTCTTGAAAGCCTGCAGTGATGAAGCTCCCACAACTTCTGTTCCACGGGTTGATTGTTCTCACTGTCAGAAAATTTCTCCTTATTTCCAGGTTGAATCTCTCCTGGATCAGTTTCCATCCATTGTTCCTTGTCTGGCCTTCAGGTGCCTTGGAGAATAGCTTGACCCCCTCCTCCTCCTCTCTGTGGCAGCCCCTCAAATACTGGAAGGCTGCTCTCCTGTCTCCCCTGGTCCTTCTCTTCCCTAGACCAGCCATACCTAATTCCTGCAACCGTTCCTCATATGCTTTAGTCTCCCAATCCCCTCATCATCTTTGTGATCATTTTTTGGAAGGGGAAACTGAGCCAGAAGCTGTCCCGAGGCTGGCCAAGCAGAAGCCCCCCACCCCCAGTTGTCCCTCTCCTGGCACTCAGCTGGGAACCTCTGTGGCAGAGGTGGCAGGTTCGGACCAGTTCTGGAGAACCGGTAGCAGAAATTGTGAGTAGTTTGGAGAACCCGCCAATCCCACCTCTGGCTGGCCCTGCCAACCCCATCTCTTCTCCGCCTCCCATCGAGTCCCAGCTGATGGGTTGGGTCTCCTTTGGTTACCCTGCCCAGGAGAACGGAGCTGGAAAGCAGGTTAGTGGGGTGGGGTGGGGATTTTGCAGTATCCTTCCCCTGCCACACCCACCAAGCCACGCCCACAGAACCCATAGTAAAAAAATTTGAATCCCACCACTGCTCTGTGGGGTCTGACTCCGACGGCCATCTGTTTCTGGGACTCGGGCTGGTGCAAGCCCCCCCCCCCCTTTTCAGAGTCCCCGCACCACTGTTCCCAGAACCCTGCCTAATTCTCAGCCTCTGATCGCATCATTGCTGCTGGCTCTTTCAAGACCCGAGTGCAAAACATCACACTCGCACATGCACACACACAACCCTCAGCCCTGTGCAGCAGCATCCAGGGAGCCCAGCAGGACCCTCATTTCCCAGGTCAATCCTTATTTCAACTCTCCGCCTTGCTCCAAGGCTGAGCTCTCCCCAGTGCGAGTCCAGCTGCGTCCACACGGGGGCAGCCCTGCAATAGCAACGCCACCAGCTGCTTCCTAGCACAACGGATGCTGTGCGCCCCCCACCCACCCAACTGCTCTTGTGCCAGCCTCCCCCCCCCAGACCACCCCACACACACCCCGTCACCCCTGGGGCCAGTTTGGGTTCAGCTGGCGTTTGTTAAACTTCTTATTGAGTGTCCCAAAGGTGCTTTTTTTTTTCAAAAGGCAACTGAACTTTCTGGTTTTTCTTTGAAGATGTTTAGCTTCTCATCGAAGAATTAATTGATATTATTTATTGAATGTCTCCTTCCTCCTCCTCTTCCTCTTGGAGCAGCCCTGCTTGGGCCAGGGGCTGCCCTGCACCCTGGAGCAGGGCAAGTGGTTCAGCAAAACTGGGTCCCCCAGAGAAGCTCTATACAGGTAGTCCTCGACTTACAACAGTTCATTTAGTGACCATTCAAAGTTACACTGAAAAAGGCAGCTTAGCACCATTTTTTCCCACACTTACAACCATTGCAGCATTGTCATGATCAAGGGATGAAAATTAAAATGCTTGGCAACTGTCTTCTATTTATGACGGTTGTAGAGTCCCTGGGTCATGTGATCAACTTTTGCAACCTTCTGACAAGCAAAGTCCATGGGGAAGCCAGATTCACTGATTCACTTAACAACTTTGGCCAGAACGGTTGTAAAATGAGGCAAAACTCGCATAACAAATGTGTCATTTAGCCACATAAATTTGGGCTCAATTGTCATAAATCAAGGACTGAGCTGTACTTTGTTGAATGTGGATTTGTTTGTTCATCTGTTTCAAGTTTTTCCTTCTCGGATTAAGCTTTGCAACTAGCTGGGATGGAGAGAAGGGGCACAGGATGCACCTGTCAAAGAAGAAAGCATCCATGTCTTGCCCCAGAACAAACTCCCAAATTCAGGACGGTTACACATCAAGAGGAGCACCGGGGCTCCTGCTCCTTTGGGCACCTGGACCCAGAAGCCACCCTTTCTGTGTGTGTTGTGGAAGCCTTCCTGAAGCCCCACCCCGAGAAACAGTGAGAAACAATTATGATTACTTATTATTATTCCCTTTATTGTCAGAGTACAATGAGATTGGCTGAGCCTCCCTTCGTGCACACACCCCAACACAACTGACCGTGAG